AACCGAAAGTTCACTATAACCGGGTTCATTATAAGCGGACTTTACTGTATTTTATTCAATAAATGACTTCTTCTCCACGTTCTAAACAAAAATCGCATAACACATTACAGGTTGAAATTTAACCGGTCTGTAGATATGGAGTTCTCAAAAAAAATTTTTTGATTTGTTTCGCTAAATTATCAAATCAAATAGGTACAAGGTTCAAGTTATCTTAGAAAGCTGAGATCGCTATCACAACGCCGAGTCATTCTTTGTTTTAAACAGTTAATCTGCAATTGACACGAATGTTAAAAATTTGTTTTATATGAATTATTGGAGCTTTAAAACGATCGCTGGGGACAATTGAATGGTTCGGTCTCCCAATTTGACTTTTTTCTGTGCATTAAAATGTCATTAGTGCATATTAATAGGTCACAAAATATTGAAGAGTTGCAGGATAGAATGTCATCAAATTCATTAGAAAAGAGTCTTCAGCGACATTACCTTCAAGAGGTAAACGACGCTCACTTTGAACATTCTTGAAAATAACATTTCACTTCTCACTAAGGTTGGAAATCCATAAAATTATGTTGTTTATAAATTATGTCTCTTTCTTTCACGATTGGGCAAACGTTAAAATACTAAATCTAATAATTTAGCGAACTACGGCAAAAACAATTTTAACAAGTCGAAATGTTCAAAACGATTCAATTTAAGCATGTAAGTGTTATACGTTTCTTGTTTAGAATGTCGAGGAGAATTCAATTATTGACCAACCTACAGGGTGTTCCATTTAAGAAAAAGTCACTTTGTGTTGATGTAGGTTTTTGCCTGATCCTCTGCATAGGTACCTACCTACTAAACATCTCTTTACGTAAATAGACTGGAAAGATCCTTTCAATTTCAATTTTGATCTTAATCATTTCGTTATAGCTATCTCAGATCAGGAATTAATCCACCATCGCCCTAATTTAAGAGTCAAAATTTAGCATACATTGACAATTAGATACTGAAGCCTACAACGCTACACCTATGAATTGAAATATTTGAATCAAGCTAGCAAATAACACCAGAACTTACCCCCTGAAGGCTCCTAATGAGGATCTGTAATTCGGGTAGCACCTAATAACTTCTACACAGACAATTGTGGGTCTTTCAAACAACTTTTCAAATCTGGTATAAACAAAAGCTCAAAACTCGAATCCGCGACGAGAACGCGACCTCAGTTACGAAGAATATAAACTGTCCGGGTAGAACCGAGCCAAAACGCGCGCGGGTCTGCTGAGCTCGGGGAAAAGAGGGTCTCAAATTACGCAAAAAGGCGGGCCGATGGGTGGCCCCATCGCTGTTATGGGTTTGATATGGGATGATGTATGGCGGGTGCTACAAGAATGCATGCATATGTGTGTGTAGAGGATTAATTACGCCCTTCACTTAGTTGCCTTTAAATATTAGAGCAGCTGGCCGAAAAACCAGTTGAAATCGCTGATGTTTGCCTAGCCAGTGTGAGGAATCCTCTAAAAAAATGGAATAACACTGAAAGGAAATATTAAGTCACTGCCCACTTCACGTAATTATCGCGTATACCTACCTACCTACTTAAGCAAATTGAGACGCTGTTTTGCAAACCTGCTTTACAGGGCAATTTTGCTAAAACCAATCTTAAGTGAAATTTGGATGCATATGATTTTTTGTGGCCTCAGTTTACTTTACATGTACTTTCAGAAACATGCACAGATTTGTTGATTCCAATTACCGACCGGTTGATGCCACCCAGCCATCAATGAATCTTTCAAGACACCTACCTAACACATTTCCGTTCTCTTCATCTATTCTCAAAAATTCCAGTGATTCATAGGGGTGGGAACTGATTCGAATCACCTTCCCAAGCATACTTTCAATTTTCGGAAACACGTGCTGTAAATTCTTTTCTGCCATCACTGAGTTAACACTTGCTTTCGGGTCGACAGGTAGTAGTAACGGTAATTATTGTACTGCCATGGTCAACCCACAATAAAACTTGGACTCCATGGTGGGCCCTTGTCACCATTCCCACGGTGTCAATAGGTTTGTCAAGACAATTAATTTATAGATACTGGACTGGCACAAAAGGCCTACTGTGTAGGTACTACTAAGTATATCTAGTACCGAACATTTCAGTACCTAGTTATCATTTTCCTCGGCATAATCGTTTGGGCTATTTAAAATTTCCATAATATCTTCAAGTATTTTTTGCGAAATTAAGGGCGCTATCAGGCAGGTACAGTTGGCGAGGGCGGCTGCCGGCGAAGCGGCCTGTTCATATATTGATAATACTGATGGCAGACAATCTATTCTAAGCCCTACCAAACACCGTCCCCTTTCCAGCGCTCTGCCAAGGAACTGTAATAATTGCACCTATTAAACGTGAAAGCAGTATCGGCTGGAAAAATCAGATTTCGGAAAGTGTGGCACAAAAATGAGTTTCTGTACGGTTTGCCATCAACTTTTCATGCGATTCAAACAGTGGTGCGTTACGCTCATATTGAAAGTTAATATGAAACCGTCCTAAATGAAGTGTAAGGAGATATAAATACGCAAATATATTCAGTCCCTATACACACAAACCGTCCATAAACTGCA